GTCACACTAGTCATGTGACTCGCTGACGCAACAGCAATATAAAACTAAGCGGACACTCATTTTCAAGTTCTATACTTTGGTGAAATGCAAATTAAAAATTTACAGTGCTGAAATGACTTACTAATTAATTAAACCACTGATTAAGTAATTAACTCTCTAAATGACTCAATCACTCGTGTTTGTATGTATCATATAAATTTCACGAACATCTGAGACGTTGTGTTACGCAGGTATACCATGCGTTTTCTACCTTATCATTTTAATGTATAATTTAAAAGTGTTTTCAAGTTATACAGGTGTATGTACGGTTATTGTATAACAGGAAATCAAAAAAGTAGTTAAGTTACTTTCGTTCTAGCTACCTTAGTTCTCAAACATCTTCTTGAGATAGCAACTTGTCTGCCTGAAAGTGGACTAGCTGTGTGGTATGCAGGTATACCACGCGCTTTCCACCTTGTTAATTTAATCTCAAAATTTTTAGTTTATTCTGAATCTGTGAATGTTTTACTTAACACGTGGTTCAGAAAACTGCCCTTGTTCCACTGTTGTTTTTTAGAAATAATACCTGCTCCACCAACTGGGTATATTGCTGTAACATTGCACGTTGTGCAAGAACGTACATGTTGAATGAGAATGACTAAAACGTGAAGAGTGCTAGTCCTTATGAGTAAATCCGCTGCTTTATATTAAGAAAGAAAAGTTAGATTTAACACTATTACATGGGTCTCAAATAAGTTGGTTAATGGGAAAACATCTTGAGGGAAAAAGCCAGTTGATCAATTTAGAAGTCCAGTAGAATGCGACCATTCAGTGTCCTAACATAAGTGTTTTTGTCCACTGATTAAATAAATATTGTTTTCATTCTGTTTTACACACCATGTCCAATCTGTTTATTCATTTGTATAAACTTAGACAGTTTAATTAAATGCAATATTACTTTGTAATTTATTTTGCAGATCCTCCTATTATAAAATATACGTATCAAATATTCTTTGCAGAAATCAGTTTAATCCGAGAATACCACAGGGTAGGTATTTATTGCAAGGTATTCTAATTTTGCTAATGTGTTTATCATCTTTACTTAAACTCTTGAGTTCAGCGGGTTTAATAGTAAATTTCTTTTTGAACAAAATATATTTTTTCCTAGATGGAAGTATTTACGATTGAAAAGGAATTTATAGTTGTACGAGAAAGGTGTTTTTTTTCCTGAATATAGGACTTTTCCGATGTTGTTAAAGTCCCTGATGCTGATTTTTCTGCAACTGCAGGATCAGAAAGATTAATCAAAATCTGTTGTACCTAAAATGGTAGATCTGGCATTATTCTGAGGTTTGATTTCATCCAAAGGAGGCGTGGACGACTGGAGGTTGCTGAGGTGTAATGGCACCTGGTGTGTTTAAGACCATATGGAATGGTTTCTACAGGACTTGCAGACTGTTGCCAGCCGCAGTAACATAACCCTATCTGTGGTCAAAACCATCTCAGAAGAACTAGATGTGCTACTGGTGGGTGACCCCTGTAGTCAGAGCTGTTTTGCTGACGGATAAGATAATGGGCACAATTGGAAAAAACCTGAAACACAAGTTAGTTGTCAACCTCTCTGAGCCACTTTCAATATGGACTATATAGTTGACTGAGTGTTTGGAGTCCCTGACACAATCTACTTTCCCATACTCATGATATTGGGTGGACAATAGACCACAAGGGTGAGTCTTTGGCCAACACCATAGGTCCCTGTGAGTGAATACAAGCAGATTTTGCCTCTCTTATTCAAAGGTATATTGAAGGAAGATCTGCATAATTTGCTGAAGAGTTTTGGGTAGGTAACTATATGAGTAGGTGGAATCAGGAGCAGGCAGTCCAATGCTTTATTCTGAGCTTAGACAATTGAGCTTTGTATAACACCAATCAATTGGATGAGACATAACAAGAAAACAGTCACGGCTCAGTTGTGCTACCATTTCCATTTAGTGGAGAACTCAGCAATCCACCAGGTGGAATTCAAGGCTCAGAGAAGGAGCCCACAGAGAGCCTGGCTGCTTATACAGATGATGATTGCCATCTGCATGATAAAGATAACCATGAAATAACATCAACACATCATAAAACATACTCATAAATAAATTTGTCATTGGCGATACAATGAGACACAACCTGGTATGAGGAATATCCTCACCCTAACTGAGGTTGTTTCTACCGTGAGTGGGATTCAGGGGGATTTTGAGCCAATCATGGAGAGAAAGAAGTCTGCCGCAGCAGATGCTGTGGTTATATCTCATATTGTCCATCCTACTCAAGTATGTCCATCACATTGAACTTGAGCCTTGCCAAGAGGTAGCCATACACACACACACACATCCGAGTACTGCATTGCAACCAAACTACATTCCAGTGAAGGTGCAGAACTATCCCAGTACACTCATTGTTTAAATGCCACAACATTAGCTTGGACCTCTGCCTGGACATTGTTCAAAATGGGAGGATCATAGCATCTGCTTTATTTGTGATGTACTGGGTCAATGGAAAGTGGTTTCTCTGCATATTCCCAATCAGAAAAGGGGGCAAGGCCATCGGTTTTATCCAATGGCTTAGCAGGTGCCTGAGAACCAGAAGCACTAGTACTTTGCTGAGCAACAAACTAATAAATACTGTTGGTTTAGACTGATGGGCAAAAAGGACTTGGAGAACCAACATCAAGTAATAAATAGTACCACTACAATTCCAGAAAACTAATGAATTCGAGTTTTGTCTAACCATCAGTTTGGGAAAGCATGAGAGCTAGTTTGCAACAAAAGGTTTGGTAATCAGCCCAGCTGTCTTACGGCTGGGTAAAGCTTGATATGTGTCTATGAGGGTACAAGGGCAAGAGATTCAGTTCCTGGTTGACAGAGGAGCAGCTCGAAACTATTAAACTTTGCAATATATTAAAGTCTTCATACCAGACCACCACTATGGCTTGTAGATATCGACACTGTTTTGGCAATTGGCGATAGACTAGGCATAAGTGAAGAGGCAGATCTCCAGCTGTGTCTAGGAAATGTCACTCAGAGGATGAAAGTAGTCATCTTCAACCTTAGATCTAGCACTGGTATCCTCAGAATGGATTTGCACCAAACGTTATTGGTCAGTTTTACCTGTGCAATTGGTGAAATGATATTATGTGCAAGAGTTATTTGATATCAGCCAGACTGAGCCCAGGAATAGTCAGTGGAGGGAATAACAGTACCGCCATATGCACAAGTGTGTTCCTTAGTTTAATATGGACAGTCTAGTGCTTTTGACTTTGTAACATGGTTATAGAAGTCATAGATGAAATTAATTGTATCCTGTCTAGAAAGTAAGTAGCATTAGCTCAGACAAAGTAGAAGGGTTGTATCTTTTGCACCATGGTTAAAAGCAAATATGTGTCTACCATTGGTTGATGACTGTGCAAATAGTCTAGACCCAACACAGAGAAAGCAACTCAATGACACATTGCTAAATATTTTGATGTATTTGTGGAACCAGATGGCGAATCAAGTCAAACAATAGCCATTAACTGTCAAATAGACACAGAGCAATACTGATAGGACTATGTCATGATATAAAAGATTGTTTCTTTCAGATAGTATTGATTAATTTAGTTTTGTGAGTGAATATTTTATTATTGTTTAGTTTTTGTTATAATAAAAGTTTAAAGCAGATGATTGTAGGAAGTTTTGTTAATAAATTTTGTTAAAACTGGGAGAAAGGTGATTGAGCAGTCTGTCTCAGCCCACTTCTCACAGGAAAAGGCCTACAAGTATATGCAGGCATGACGT